GCGCAACTCTCGGACACGACTAAAATGTACGCAATGTTTTGTCTTCTTGTGAGTGGGATCCGAAAAAAAACGCATGAGGCCTGAATGATCAACGTGAATTGCCTCCAAAATAAGCAATGGAACAAAGCTCGTAATAGAAGATGGAAGTCATCAAATGGAGTGGGTGGAGTCCAGTAAGAGTCAGACTGTGATGGAGAAGTAGGCGATCAAATATCCGAGCGATGGTTTTGACTAGTGAGTCCCAGACGAAGCCTCACGCGCTGCCGCGCACGGGTGTAGCCTTAACCACGCGAAGGAAACAGGGTGCTGTCACCTTGTGACATGATCGTTGTAAGATCTTGTAGGTTTTTGTATGTTGCCAGAAACGACCCACACACACGAAGGGTCGATGACAAAACCACGGGTGTGCATGTAAAGCGTGTCCATTGTCCGTTTGATCGGCTCGATTCAGTTCTTCAGATACAAGCGGGTGGCCAGTGTTGGTATGTAAAAATAAAATTGTGAAGTATGTGCCAGGCGCTGATTAACCGTTCAATCAGTAACAATAAATAAGTGATAAACGGTATGCCCAGCTCCTGCATCCATCCATATGCTCGATAGTAAATAGTAACGAAGTGGTATGTCCATCATCCAAACTGTAAGACGCCAACTTCAACATCGAGGTGACTGTGAAGAAAAGCCAACAACGCAAATTTGCGATATATATATGCATGTGTGCAGGATGGTCCGTGCGCGGGAACACGATAGGTATTTAATGCGTGTATCACCTCAACATTTTTCTCTATCGAAAGTTCACCTGGCGGGTTGATATTTGGGTTTCTCCTTGGTTTCAGGACTATTTTTTACTGGAGAATCTTGAACCTATACAGCTCAGGGAGAAGGAATCCTTTCACCAAGTTCGTCCTGACATTCCAGAGGTCATTGGCGACCCGTATGGGAGGGACATCTGTACAGGCTAGCACTAGTAACTATTACATACCTCTTTGTATCAACAAGATCCATGAAAATTGTACAAGTGGCTGACTTTAACCATATCTCTTTGTATCATCCATGAAAACTAGAAGTGGCTAAAGACTGACTTTAACCAAAACTTGGTCCAAGTTGAAAAAGGTCTCATGAGAGATCGAAAGTCATATGATACACAACTACGTATAATGATACTAGTAATACTGGGAGTTTCAATGTTCACTGACAAGCACAGCTGCCATGCCCATTCCTGAGCCAATACACATGCTGGTGACGAACACTCGCTCATTACGTTGCTTCGCGATGTTGAGACCAGTAGCAATTTGACGTGCTCCCGCTGTGACGAAAATAGATCAAGACATAATTGATACGCAAGAGTTACAAGACACGTACTGCATCCGAGTGGGTGTCCGATCGCGATCGCACCCCCATTGACATTCACTTTGTCAAACGGCAAGCCAACCTTCTGGATGCTGTACACAGCCTGTGATGCGAAAGCTTCGTTGATTTCGTAGAAGTCGACATCGTCCTTGGAAAGTCCCGTTTTCTCAAGGACTTTAGGGATGGCATATGCTGGACCCACACCCATGATACGCGGTGGCACACCCACGACTGTCGAAGTAACGTATTTGCCGACAATGGGAAGACCCAACCGCTTGGCAACGGAGCGGCGAGCAAGGACTACAGCTGCTGCACCATCAGATACCTGTGAGGCACTCCCTATATCAAGTTTAGATGACACAGTCTAAAAGAGGTATCACAAAAAACCCACCAGCATGCGTCGTGCCATTCTTCGTAAATGCGGGCTTAAGTTTCGACAAACTCTCTGCGGTGACACCATCACGAATACCATCGTCCATGTCAACGACAATCTCAGAAACTTTTTCAGTTTTTGGATCAGTTATCTTGACCTTCAGAGGGACAATCTCATCCTTAAACTTTCCGCTTTTTTGCGCGGCGGCAGCCTTTTGATAGGACTCGGCTGAAAACTTGTCCTGTACCTCGCGAGAAATGCCGAAGTCCGAGGCGACGTTCTCAGAAGTGATACCCATGGGAATCAAACAGTCTTCTGCTTCTTGGCTGGTGAGGATCTCATCTGACCAGCCATCGGGTAAGGATCCAGCGCCATATCCAAACGTCATGGATTCAACTCCAGAACCTATAAGACTCCTTAGTAACAAACGATAATATACAAAATCATTGCCTACCGATGCCGATGTCGATTTGTCCAGCAATGATTTCATTTGCAATCTGATTGACAGCTGCAAGACCAGACGAGCATTGACGATTCACAGTGTTGATTGCAGTTGTGTTTGGAATTCCTGCATGAAGGGCGGCCATGCGAGCAGCATTGGCACCACCGCCGGGAGGTAGGACGTTTCCGACAGCGATATCCTCAATAAGGGCGGGATTGACTGAGGCTCTAGTATAGGCAGCTTTCAAAACGCCGGACAGGATCTCCTCTGGACGAGTATCTTTGAAGCCACCTTTCCTGCCCTATAAGGAGTAAGTTGCACACCATGTCTAGGTCTCTATGTAACAGTAATGGTACCTTGGTGAGAGCAGACCGCACAGCAGCTACAATAACGACGTCGTTATCATTCTTAGCAAGAAGCCTTGCTCTCGCGCTTGATGATGCCATTGTGGTGTTGAAATTTATGTTAACACTTGTGGAGGAACCCTGGGAGTTGGCCTGAGGGAAGGTAACTGAGCAGTTGCTGGCTCGGTAGTAATAACATCATCACGCGCAAGCATGTGTTTAATTTAGACTCCAGCTTAGTCATCCAAGTCCGGGTAACATTTTGAACCGTTCTATCCTGTCTCAGTCTTGTAATCACCTGATCATGAACGTTAACTGTTGACTGAACACTCTGCATTATGCTGTTGGACTAGGTTCAGAACATCTATTAAGTTCCACCCATCCACGACTTATGGCTTCCAGATCCAGCTACGGGCCAGACAAACACATGTCGTATCCTCACACCATTATGTGGGCCACTTGCCAGCACTGTGCTTTCCACAGAGATATATTGGCTATGGAGCAGTCATCATCGGTAGTGGTTTTCACGCGCCAGTCACCTTGAATACGTGTAGATTTGTGAGGGTCAGGGTGTCGTCAAACATCACATCCACAGACGATCGGTATGTAGCACAAGTCGTGGTTGATATATATGACCGCAATTCAAGAACGAGCTCATAAAAAGTTGTTCGTATCAATTTGGCGGAGTATGTCTCACTCCAACTTTTCACTCGATCTACCCACCTTACCCATATTAGACCCGCAGTACCAAAACGAGATGCGCCCACCCGCTCATAATGCTCACATAATGAAGATGACACACTTTGCGACCAATATTCGCTCACTTCATCAAACTGCGATGGTGGCACTCCGATGGCTTATGCTTGGCAGTCCTGCAGTCATGAACGCTGCATTTTTTTAGTTGCCGTGACCTGTGTTCAACAGCCGCAGACATCGGAAAATATGCTGCGGTCGAAATCTGGAATTTGAAAAGCCTTGTAGAACGAGGTCAAGCATCCAGGCAGCATCAAAATTTGATTGCCGTATTTGCCAAGGCTTGAGCGCTCAAAGCTAACTTTCCACCTGCCCCTGACTGTAACTTCACCTCCGATTCTTTCGTCGCTATCTGTACCTTTGACTCATCAAAAAGCCCGATGCTGAAGGATATGTCCGAGGGCAGTGTTTTCATTCCACCAGGTGAACTCAAGGTCCGAATTGAAACCCATGACCTAAATCGCTGCAAGCTGATCTTCAGCAGGATCCACTTTTTGGACGCCGACAGTAAACGATCAATCCCAAGGGTCTGATTGCTATTAGGACCGAGGCGTTATGCACACCTAGTTGTTTCTTCACTTGTCAGGTATCGGGACCGCGGGGAGTTGCCCAGGGTCTATCATGGCAAGGCATCCTTGTTTATCCGTACACAGATCCTTATTTGAAATCAGTTTACTCCCTTTCGCTCCTGCGTGCGGACGCACGCAAGACAAAAAGTTGTCGGAACGACCGGCTACTGTTCGCATCGACCGGTGGACGAGCTATGTAGTCTTACAAAGACACCACCCGCGTTTTGGCGCCATATTAGGCCCCTACGGCTGGTGAACAAGCGACTTTTCCTAATCCAGCAAAGTTGTTCAGTAGCCAAGCACGAGCGGTGTGTTGTTTGGATTTTTTCGGAAGAAGGACGGTAAGGTCTCTTCGTATGCTCGCGTCGATAGTGGTATTGATGAAGCCCCGCTTGTCCGAGAGTCCTCGCTTTACCTCATCGGTTCATCTGCCATGGGAGTCAGACTATTCTGATGTCAGCAAGAATCTGGTGCACGAGAAGTGCTAATTTTCAGCAACCAGATCCTTTATGGGGTGCGTCATTCGGGTATTCATGCTTGCATTTTCGCAATTACCATTCGTTGCGACAGCAATGTTGGTCTGTTCAAATCCGTCTCGTTATTTTGACACTTCAACAAACGTCTCTCCTATCTTTCGGGTGAGCGTGGTCGAGACGGCATGGTGCTGATGGCATTTGACATGTCGACGATAGTGTCTGTCAACGTATTGGAACGGGCAAGGACTGCAAGGGGAACCAAGGCCAGACCTCTATAGCGGGAGGCTGTCTATGCAGGACTACCAACTACGAGCCAGGACTCCTGCTACTGGCGTTTCTAGCCTGTTTTTTATAGCTTCCGAAATTGAGTTGTTATAAAAGACAGGCTAGAAACGCATTGGCTCCAGAGGAGAGCTTCCGGACAGAACTGGCTGTTCCTCACTGTTTGCATCGATGACTTTTGTGCTAGTTGGGTCGACTTCGAGTGCTTAGCATGCAACCGCCGGCGTCCTCCAAATTTTGGCAAGAGCCTTGCAGTCGACGTCGCCGAGGTGCTTGCTGACTATGCTTTGTTTGACGGGTATGCAACATGATGGTCAATTTGTCTCAAGAATCGCTAAAATGATTGCTCAGCTGCTCGCGTGAATGTGCCAGGACGTCTGACACTCCCGAGGTCAAATCCTACTACACCACCGACTACGAGCCAGAACTCCTGACACTGCGCCGAGGCTGGTGCTTCCAAGGACCTGCGCCAGGCCTCCCCACTACAGTATTCATGTGGGACTTGTTGGCGTACGGGTTAGTTATTCGTGTAGTCGACAGGATTCCCGGAGCCCCATTTGCTGCCATGACAGGTAAAACAGTGCAGGTAGTGGCCTGAAGCGTAATCACTTACACTTGTTGCATCCCAGCCATTCCCCACGATCGAGTTCCTCAGCTCCCTACAATTCGTCACCCTCAAGATGTCATCCGCAAACCTGAAAATGGTATGTTAGGTGGTGTGGGAACTGTCCCTTTTCTATACTTGTGCTATTCCGCCGCACTCTTACCAAGGAGACAGAGAGACTCATCGTTCGGAGGCTCGCTCACCAAAACTTGATCGAGGACGGAGATGTCGCATGTTCTCCCTTTGTAGATCCACCAAGAGGCAACACCCTGAAAATGGGTGGAAACACAATGTCACTGCACTCTTTTCCGAATGATTTACGATTCGAATGCAACATATCTGACTCACGCTCACTGGACCTAAAATAGAATTCATATCAACAAGGATCTAGAAACGGCGGTGCAACCTGCCAGAGCGCTATTCCTGTTGTTGTCGTATTGGCCTGCCTGGGTGCTGCACACAAGAATGTTGTTCTCGCCCTCTTCGGTCGCCGGCTGTGAAAAATACTCGTTCCTCCAGGATGATTTTCTTTGAACGCGGGACGACAGCTTTAAAGAGGATCGACATTTACCTTGCATCACTCGCCATGCGAGAATGTAAGGGTATATCCTTGAGTGTGCCATACTGAATACAAGAGTCGGAGGACGTGTCTTGGTGAAGGACCTCGATGGCCGAATTAGAATTCTGCAGCTGGGTCTGGTGCGAGGCAGGCAAGGTGGAAAAGGGTATTTGGTACGCAATCGAATAACTGTACAAGTCCATCAGGCGGGAGCACTATGATTTAATAGCCCATCGAGTGAGCGTGAAACTTGGCTGCTGCACGGTAATAACCAAATTAGCTGCCTTTCGCTGATCGGGGGCATTTGCGTATCAAGTATTGGTACTATATAATGAACTTGTTACCTTGTTTACCAAAGGAGCATGGTCCGTCGTAGTAGCAGTGAACTTCGGTCACCATAGGTATCGGAGTGGTTTTCGGATTCCGGCATCATGCTTTCTACCAGTCATGAGCGACATTCGCATCACCATACTTTAGCAGAGATCTTAGTATCGAGAGCACTTCGAATTTGGGCGTTCCAGAAATGACCTGATATTTCAAGTTTGCACTTTGACTCTCAATTCAATACCGTATCGGACACCCTCAGGCTCAGTTCTCGTTCCGAACCACTGACTCGGCGCAAGATCATGAGAATTGCTTTCCAATATCGCTAGTGAGTGGTAAAGATGCTAGTGCATCTGATCGTCTTAAAACTCCGAAATAGGATGTATCAGTCCGTCTGGAAAGATACTGCCAAGTACTGGTGATGACAGGGCCGCTCAGTACTTGGCACACAAGATAGCTTAAGTCCACGTACCATCCAACCCTTTTTTCGCTGTGTCAAGCAATTAAACCCGTTACTACGGCGTAATGATGGACCAGGGTGAGCCCTTGGTTATATGACGCCCATGTCATCCACCTCACATAATGACACACAAGACGCCGTCAACCGCGATGGAGTGTTACTCGGTACCCCCTATACGGATGTAGATAAGGTGCTCCGGCAATTATCGTAATCCAGAGACTGTTAGTCCGCCATCGTAATGACCGACCATCGCTTTGTCCATCTTCGGCATAGTGTGGGCCTGGTGCACGTGCCCCATTAGTGATTTTATAATACAATATGGGTTTGCTTTTGCTATTGTGTCAATCGACTATCATGGCTGAACACCAGGACCACGTACCTCTTCCTAGCAGCGACGTTCGTGCCACAGGAATTGATGTGGTCGTTGTCGGCGCTGGCTTTGGAGGTATTGCTTGTGCGATCGAATGCAAACGGAAGGGTCATCGCGTGATGATCCTGGAGAAAGTGCGTGAATTGAAGCAACTAGGTCAGTGGCTCTATCGCACACCTATTGTTCTCATCTGATAGTGGAATAAAGGCGACGTGAGTCTCTTTAGGGCGATGATTTTCAGCTCGAGGACTGACAAAGTGCTAGCTGTTAAGCCTCGGCCCAAATGCTGGTCGCATCCTGGCCAGATGGGGCCTTCATGAAAGGTACAGAAAAGGTCTGATTTTTCTGATCAAAATAATTGAAAATACAACAGATTGTGGGAGGTCTCCCGTTCCGCAAATGCGATGCACATCTATGATTACCTCGGAGGCCTCATTCAAGTGCAAAAGATGACCTGGCCGCTCTTCGGAGCGTTCGCTTACAATGGTCATCGAGGGCTTCTTCACGAAATCCTGTTTGAGCATGCAAAGTCCTTGGGAATCGAGATTCGCATGGGACATCAGGTCGTAGAATATTGGGAAGACGAAGCGAATGGAAAGGCCGGCGTCAAAACCCAAACAGGTGAAACGTTTGATGCCGATGTTATCGTTGCTGCAGATGGAGTGAAGAGTTTGGCGAGAAAATATGTTATTGTAAGTTTGAATTTATCCTGCCGGTTAACTTACCGGTCAATATCACAAAGGGGTACAGCGACAACCCCAAACCTTCTGGATACGCTATTTACCGAGCGTGGTTCGATGCTGAAGAGCACGGTATTGTGGCAGACCCATTGACAAACTTCCTGACTCACGGGGATCAGTTTTACACGTGGGTTGGTAGGTAGGGTTTGCCCACCAGGTGTTTCATCACTCACTCCTCGTAGGTAAAGACATGCATGTTATAGCGGCTTCCTCGCGCGGAGGTAAATCGATTTGTTTTTTCGTCACTCACAAGTGCGCAAATCGTACTTTTCGTGATATTCAGAGCTAAATAGTAATAAAATTATAGAGACAACGCAGCTGTTGATGGCGACTGGTCGTCCCCGGGTAAGATAGAAGACGTACTGGACCTTGTGAAAGACTGGGACCCGCGGTGCGCTGCGATCATCTGCAAAGCTCCTTCGTGCATCGACTGGAAGCTTCTGGTACACGACCCTCTTCCTACTTGGCTCAGCCAATCTGGTCGCGTGGTATTGATTGGCGATGCGGCTCACCCATTTTTGCCGTAAGGAAGTATGAGTGATTGATGGCGAACCCGTTTGCTGAGCATGTGATTGGCAGATCAAGCGCGCAGGGTGCATCTCAAGCCATTGAGGATGGGGTAACACTAGCGGTTACGCTGAACCTTGCTGGCAAAGACAATGTTCGATTGGGAACTCGGACATGGGAATCTATTCGGTATGTGAGATAATTTGAGCCCAAAACAGACTTCTGGATCACATTGTACAGGTACCAACGGGTGTATGATGCACAGGTGTTGGGTGAGAGTACGCGTGAAAAATGGCACGGGGCGAAAGTGGGTGACTCTGGGGAAAGTTTCGAGTTTCCCATGCCAGAGTGGTTGATGGCATTCGACGCTGAAGCACACGCGTATGCGGTTTACGAGAGAATAGCTCAGTCTATAGTTAAAGACGGCTATTGTGAGCCGTGTGTAGAGGAGAGTGAAGCTGCATAGGAAGAATCAGAGTATCCGTTCTTGAAAGAGCGGATCGCAGGCGAAGAACGAAGATATCGCCGTTGTATGTCCTATCTAGCATTGCATCTAATGAAAAAGTGCCTGGTTTAAGTTGTCGTTTGATAGGCGAATTTAAAGGGACTGCTCTACCTCATTAATAAGGATTTCTTCTATCACGTGAAGACCTCCACGGATCACAGAACTCGGAGTTTCCCTTCTTTCCAAGGTTGAGCGAAGTTCCGGTGCTATGTTCTTGCGGGCCCGTACAAGGACCTGGAAGCACTCAAAGTGTACTGGGGGGATACCCGATGCGCCATGCGCTATGAGATGTTCCAAGTATATCCTCGGAGGTCAGCCGGGATCTGCGACGACCTCTCCGTGGAAATAAACCGTTATCATGTTTAAACTTTTGGGAGATTTCCGGTTTAGATTGTTTCATCCTGTCTTTTTGTGGCAAGCTTCGTGACTGCTAGTCCTGGTCAACGTTAGGCCGACGGCAACCCGAGGTATAATCGGTGATTGCGCGCTCCGGACCGTTGATCTCAGTACCTGGAACGGACTCGGAGGCTTCCGGTGTTATCAAGCGCTGGCTTGCTGCGGATGACAGGCTTTGTCAGACTGATCGATCAAAGCGATCAACTGATCGCGTTCCACTCTTCCATATATGGAAATTCGATAGTGCGGAAGCAAATATTTGATAAATTGATCGCAAGATCGACGGTCCCATGTGTACACGTCCAAGGGTATGCATATAAGAATACAACCAAAAAAATCGTAGGCGTACATGTACTATAGCTAGCTAGTCGTTTTGCAATTTTATATACGAAAACAAATACGAATACTGCGAATGGTATCTCAAACTCAAATAATAATTACGACGAATGCGGTGACCTGATGGCATGTTCTAGCCATTAATCCAAGAAATGATTCGGACTAGTCGAGTAGCGAATAAGCAGGCATAGAAGCATCAACTTTTAGGTTATTCGTTTTCCTCCACGGAGCTCCGGCCTATTACGGGAGAACGTTCCTCCCTTCATGCAACCGCTTCATGAACGCTTGACGAACGCATATCTACGTGGTGCAACCGTGGTGGTGACCTCTGTCGTCCACTTTCATGTCCACGGTCTGCTGACGCTGCGGAGTAGGACGTCCGTCCAGCTGGTGCATCTATCCAAGATTGGATCTCCGGCAACGTGTTCGGGTGCTGTGATCTCCTTGAGTCAGGTACAGACTGAAGAGGGGCAATGGAAGGGTGTGAAAAATGGTAAGGCGCCAAAGGGGGAACGTGAGTGGAGATTGGTGGTAGATGCGTGGTTTGTGGGGGAGTCCTTGGCCGCATTGCCGTCGTCGCTAATGCGCCCCTGCGGTGAGGAAACTGATCCGGTCTTGACCGACCATGAGTACGCTCGAACAACCCACACTTGTTACACAACTGCGAGTAAACGGAATTTAGTCAGCCTACCGATCAACGCAGACAAAACAAAAAGGTAAACTCACTACTTTTCCAGGATTCAAGTTAGAACGGCGCCACGTAGACGTATCCGTCGTACAGCAATTGAAGCACCTTCTACGGACACGGTCGCTTAATTTCGTAGCTGCATCGTCCGTATACCCAATTGCATGGTAACTTTGACCCGGAAGTGTATACGGCAGCTGTGAACTGTCACGTCCACTACTCGCAGCACTGTGTGCTAATGCTGGGCTCGAATAGGAAGAAGACACATGGTATGGGTGGGAGTCATGCGAGTATCTGTGCTCAGGATGAGGACGTGGAGTATAAGAATAGCTGTGGGAGACCCTTCCCGAGTCTCGGACTGGGTCATGCGGGTAGGGTCTAGACTGCCGAGCCATCTGATCTTGAGAATAATAGGCATCAGAGTAGGTTGAATGTGAATCAACAGAACGATCAGTGGGTGATCGCCGTGGCGCCGGGGAAGATACGGATGAACGGTCTAATGATGAAACGGATAACGAAGGCGAATGTGACAAAGTTGCAATTGGTGGAGGAGATGGCCTCCTGTATGAATGATCATAGTCATAATCATAGTCGCGACGATGACTAGTAAAAGGTTAGATAAATCAATTGAACAAAAGGAAGTGATGAGGAGTACGTACGAGGACGGCATTGGCATCGAGTCAACGCGGTGAGGCATTTGAAGGGGAGGAAGAACTGGATAAGTGGGTGATGATGAGTGGTGTTGAAAGACGAGGGAACGCTCTGATTTATGCAGTGGCGAAGATGTCGAAACCTGATATCAAATCAACATCAAACTTGGCACGGCCATAGAAGTATATAAAGAACTAACACGGCGCTGATCTAAGCTGGGGTCTTGAAGTGTTAAATTTGGAGTTAAAGCTGTTTCCTGAGATCTTGATTCTGAAAGTGGGTTAATATTGTCCGGTGCAGGAGCGGGTAGTCGGATATCAGGAAGGCGATGATCAGAGCATTGGTGATGACGAGATTCCCTTAATTTATACAATTGTTAGTATAGGTTAGATAATTTTACAAAGTATTCGAGTACTTGCCATTCATCAACTGAGTCCTGCGGTAATACGGGAACGTGATCCGACATGGAAAGGGGGAAGCGGAGATCCTGTTGTACGAATTTCGGTCTATGGAGAAGTTGAACTCAAAGAATTCACCCAGTAAAACACTTTCATTTTAATTTTATCTATTACTTACTGGTTTTACCTATAAATTACTTTTAGTAATCGGACTTTCAAAAATAGTTCCATTCGCGGCTCACGCGGCTCGCTCTCACCGCGCTCCTGTAATCTTTCGATTAACGCGAATCCCCGCGACTCCCCTCGGATCATCTCACCAACGTGCCATCTACATCACCCCCGCCCCCCCTCCTCAACACAAATTCTCATCATGATTGATCAAAACTGCCACTGCTCGACCTCGGAATGATCTTTTGTCTCCAACTTTTCAACAACTTGCTGCGATCCAGTGTTGCCATTGTTCTATATTTGCTTGCCGGGTTATCATCTTGATCGCCTACCCTATCACAACGACCCTGTACATCAATCAGATTCCGAAGCTTTCATTTTTTTTTGATTTGGTAGACTCTAAATGGATCTCTCCTCTCCGTGCCATACACTGTGTGTCCCCAACTGCTGTAGTAGCGCCAGCCCATCACTCCTCCACGTTTGCATCATGATGGCTAATCATCATCATCCAGTGTTTCATGGATGACGCCCGTCGAGACCAACACCTCACGTTCACGAGGTTCCCGTGGTTTTTTACTCACCATATCAAGGCGGATCACAGCGCACACTCCAATCGTCTTTTAATAATGAACCCAGTTCTCTCGGGCATTTTCTCCCGCTTTACAACGACCCTTGGTCGTCACGCTCAGTTAGGCATCATTTTTCTTTCACATGAGAAATGTTCATACCACGCCATCATTCTCTTTCCGTCAGTCTTGAAAAAACAAAGACAATTGACGCCTTTTTCGAACGTGACAATGCAGCGGCTTTACGCAGATAAGCTAGTGCCATAACGTCCTTGGCATGGCTTTGCGCCCCACGGACTGACAAACGAGAGTTTGCGAAGTTGTTGTACGCATAAGGCACGTCCCTGAACAAACAGCGGCAACAGTACTAGTAAATGTATTTCCAGGAACGCCACTGATGATAAGTTGAGTTCGTCTCAAGGTCTCAGCGTATCCTCGTGGTTGTCTTTCTGCTCGAGTTCAGATTTCAACTGACGAGTACTCTTTGACACGGATTACGGATACCTGTCCTATTGTGACATTGTTCTATTTGTGGCTGTCTTTATTCTCTCCGCTGACATCTATCGGGTGGCCAGGGCTACGTATACCTGATTGCACGTGGATCGCAAGCTGCGGGTCCGTACCTCAGCCCTAGATCATGGATAGCCCCGGGAGCAAAATGACTCGGTCCGGAAACATCTTGTCTTCCTGAAGCCATCCCTTCACACATACTGTGTTAACCGATACCGCCTTTATGATGATCAAGCATCCAAGTACAGGGTAGGTGCAGCACCATCAGCAGCCTCATTGTCTCAACTTTGCAAGGAATCGATCGATCGACGGGTTTTCAAGTTAGCCTGTCATTTCTCCTTTGATCCAGCGTTTGAGATACTGTCGTCACGATTGGGTATAAATATCGCCTCCCCTTCTGACTCCATCATCTTGAACATCGAGATCATCCGCCTATCTGATCCTGCGCTTCTCCGTATCTCTTGATCATCATCATACAAAGTGCGACCGCTCGCCCAATATCCCAAAGAGGCATGACAAAAGCTGCATCTTTCACTGGTAGCAACCGCACTCGAGGCGATGGCCGACCAACACTACGCCACAGGAAATGCAAATGTTGCAACGGCGTTATCTAATTGAATGATTCTTTCAATGGATATCGAGCATTTTCTGTCTGTGCTAGAGGGTATTGGGGTTGTAAATTCTAGCGCGCATACTGCTGTGGGGGATAATGATAATGCGTTCAGGCACTGCCTGCGCTGTCACCAACCGTATATGGAACGTGATAACGGACCCCGTTCCTGCGCTATTCCCCACACTGCAACGTATAATTCATACTGGAATGGAAGTAGTCCTACTGCCCACGTGCGGAGTCGTTAGCTGTGGAGCTGCTCTAACCATGAGCGTCACACTGCATTTCACGGTGCGTCGTACGACGTCCCTGGAGAACGTGGAATAAAACCCAATCAGTGTCAATACGTGCTGAATGGAAGTGCGCTGAGATGCCTGGGAACGTTGCCGTGTTCGCGGAGAGGGCATGAGAGAGAGGAAGCGATCGATCAGATTGCCGCCCGTTCCTTGTAGTCGTTATGAATCGTGATATCATCATCAGATACGGAATTGTTGCATCGTATGTACCGGTTATCAGGACAGAAATACTTTCGAAATCTGATGCCGATGAGGCGGCATCACTGATGAGCCCCTTTGAGCCCCCTCGTAACGTGAATCTTCGGTAGGTATTGCTTGCTATGTAGTCATACTACTTGATCAGTCTCGAGCTAATCTGCAAATAGTCAACGCAAAACAAACATCACCCGTGTGCCATGCTCAACTGCGTCCGAATCATGCTTCGAGAAAACGAAGGCATACGTAAATTCCCTAGAAGTGATAACGTTTCATCATCCTGTACGAAGAACTGGAGAATGAGGAGTCTTGGGCCCATCTGCCGTGCATCGAAGAAGTAAGAGAGGTTCGTGCATGTGGCATGCCGGCGGCCGGTCACAGACGGCCCGCGGGCCAATCCTAATGCAAAGTTCAACGCTCAGCTACTACATGTAACTAAACCTACGCAAACATTCTACGCAGCCGACGTCCCCATCAGCGATTCCGGCAGTTTCATCGTCGCGGATTGGCATTGCGACACGTTGCCGACTCGGAAACCTTCGTGTTCAATGTTCATTCAATTCGCCGCGAAGTTTCGAACAACGAGAAACTCCAGATTCTTGTGGCAAAAGCCTTATTAACTCAGTTATGTAAAGGTGCTCTATCGCCCCGGTGGCACGTTGTACTTTCTGGAAGTGCAGAAGGTGAGAGATCTACAGCTCTTTCAACTAATCACTTCCGCAACTCGTCCACAAAGTACTAGTATGACCTGGCACTATCCGGAGTCCCGCGGAAGGGCGCTGTCTTCAAGAACACGCATTGGTTGTGTCATGGAGTTCCTTCACTTCCTCTCATTTCTGTATCCAGAATTTCAAGCCACGGCTTCGGCATACCGTCAAGCCTTGAACATAGCCTTGCGTACCTGGTCACGAGGAGGGAGCATCATGCTGGAGATAAGATCACGTAACTCTTATTTGGGTGTCGATACCACGCGACACCTCCTGATGATGATTCTGCCAACTGGTCAAGTGTTTCATATGCCTCATGTACGTGCAGAATAATACTCACCTTATCGCTGATACTTGCGCCGTATGCTGACAACGATTTTATTCCATGACATGTCCTGAAGCTCATGCACAGTATATATGATGGTACTGCATGAACAAAAATCTGCGTGTGGAAACAAATTCTTCAGCATCCCTATGTTTGCGATCAAGCTCAGCTTGGTGTTTTCAACGTTGCTGTCGGTGGGTTCCGGGCTAGCCTATGTCACTTATGGAACCAGTCCCAAGAATGGTATGCCAAGACCCGCGATCTTCTATCTCGAAAACTAATAGTCGTCTTAGGACAGGCCCTGCCGGACTTATTATACGCGACAATTGACGATCTCCAATCTGGTCTTGCGGCTGGCACGTTCACCAGTGTAGACCTTGTCAAGGTATGGGAGTTTTCTCTTTTATTTCGATCCATTTCAATCCTCTCTTTTTTCAAAGGCATACGTGGCTCGTATAGACGAGGTCAACCCCGTTTTGCATGCGGTCATCGAGACCAACCCAGATGCTCTTGTGATAGCAGCATCTCTAGACGCTGAAAGAGCGGATGGATCAACTAGAGGGTATTTTTATTTATTCTGATCTCCATGTTCCTCGATCTGATTGTTCTGTAGAAAGCTGCATGGCATCCCGATATGCATCAAGGACAACATCGCGACACTTGATAAGATGAATAACACCGGTCAGTGACAAATACCGAATATATTACGCCGCTTCAGCTCAATACGTATTAGCCGGCTCCTTTGCCCTGCTTGGTGCAATTCCGCCGAGCGATTCTACGGTTGCGGCAAAGCTCAAAGCTGCCGGTGCAATCATTATCGGGAAGTGCAATCTCTCTCAATGGGCCAATTATCGCTCGTCAAACTCAACGAATGGATGGACGTCTCGTGGCGGTCAGACTATGGGTGCCTACTACCCGATGCAAGACCCGTCTGGATCCAGCAGTGGTCCTGGGGTCGTCTCATCCATCGGTTTGGCCGCTGCTGCTGTAGGGACGGAGACATCTGGCTCTATCATCTCTCCTTCAAGCAGAAATAGTTTAACTGGAATCAAGCCTGTATGTCTCCATGTCTGCTTTGATCTATGGATATATACAAACTGTATTATTATTTCAGTCTGTCGGGTTGACCAGCAGATACCTCGTTGTCCCGATCTCGCAGACTCAGGATACCATCGGTCCCTTGACGCGAACAATGATGGATGCGGCATACATCTTGTCCGTGATTGCAGGCGCGTTTGTTTCTGATGCGTGTCAAACCTATTGGTCTGATGATTTCAACAGGCGAAGACTCCCACGACAACTATACATCTGCTATCCCATTCGAAACTATTCCTGATTATGCAGCCGAGTGCACTAGCGAAGGTCTAAAAAATGCCAAGATTGGCATCCCGCGCAACGCCATGACGGTGTCTTCGACCAATGGTCCAGAAATCACAGCATTTAATGCATCCATCGACATTTTCAAGAAACTTGGTGCTACGATAGTGGATAATGCTAATTTTCCAGACCTCGCTGGATACAAGAACTTTACTGGGGCGGGTGTGAGGCTCTCGCTTAATTGTTGCTTTTGATAACTCATAATGTTCCTCGCTCAGTACACCACGGATCCGGTCGTCGGTGCTGACTTTGTCTATGACGTCGCAAACTACTTCAACGAAATGACGACCAACCCCAACAACATTGTGTGCGTTGTTAGACTCTTGATCACTTTTCGTCGCTCATTGCCGTTTCATAGAAACCTCCAACAGCTCATAAACTTCACGGAGACATATGCTCC